CCCGCGGACCACATGAGGCGCGATCCTTCTTGTACTGAAGGATCGTAGCCCATAAAAGAAAACTGGAGCTCGAAGAAAAAAAAAAAGACTTTACTTAAAACCAGAAAGACGCAGCTGAAATTTATGGAAGACATCTTAAAGAAATAAAAGACTTTTAAAGACACTTTTATCCCCACTAACGAAACGTTTCGCTCTCTTGCCGCTCTCTCGCTATTTCCATGCTAAATGTTCAGACGAGTTACGTCCCTTAGTCTAGACCTTCACAGATAGAACTCGCCATGCCACTTAAACAGGGGTCGAACTGTGTTTTGAGCCCACTTTGGGGGTTAACTATTTGCCCATAATTCCGATCCTAACAGCTATTACCACCCCGGATCAGGGTGAACCTGGGAACAACAGCAATTAAGATGTGGTTCCACGCTCCTCAAAACCTCCCCATCAGAGGCCTTGCTGCCGGATGTAGTTTATCGTCATACCCAGAACGCTTGGTTAAAGCGTTATAGCCTTCCTCCCCATTGTAAACCAGGTGTGCGTAAACTACGGCCCGGGCTCCGAATGTTACCCGGTTGATTGTTTCATGCGGCCAGCAAGAGCCCAACAAACATTTAAATATCGATTTTTAGATATTGATATTTTGGATTACATGTTTCATAAAATCGAAATCTATTCAAAAACAAACAAAAACAAAAAATGCAAACCGTATACAGTGTAACCCGGATATAAGAGAGTTGTCGGGACCGGAGAAGAAGTCTTTTATATCCGGGTTTCTCTTATATCCGGGTTTGGTCTATTTTATATGCATTAACACAGGCTCTAATTTGGGACCAGAGAAAATCTCTCTTATATCCGGGTTTGGTCTATTTTATATGCATTAACACAGGCTCTAATTTGGGACCAGAGAAAATCTCTCTTATATCCGGGTTTGGTCCATTTTATATGCATTAACACAGGCTCTAATTTGGGACCAGAGAAAATCTCTCTTATATCCGGGTTTGGTCCATTTTATATGCATCAACACAGGCTCTGATTTGGGACCAGAGAAAATCTCTCTTATATCCGGGTTTGGTCTATTTTATATACATTAACACAGGCTCTAATTTGGGACCAGAGAAAATCTCTCTTATATCCGGGTTTGGTCTATTTTATATGCATTAACACAGGCTCTAATTTGGGACCAGAGAAAATCTCTCTTATATCCGGGTTTGGTCTATTTTATATGCATTAACACAGGCTCTAATTTGGGACCAGAGAAAATCTCTCTTATATCCGGGTTTGGTCTATTTTATATACATTAACACAGGCTCTAATTTGGGACCAGAAAATTTCTCTTATATCCGGGTTTGGTCTATTTTATATGCATTAACACAGGCTCTAATTTGGGACCAGAGAAAATCTCTCTTATATCCGGGTTTGGTCTATTTTATATGCATTAACACAGGCTCTAATTTGGGACCAGAAAAAATCTCTTATATCCGGGTTTGGTCTATTTATATGCATTAACACAGGCTCTGATTTGGGACCAGAGAAAATCTCTCTTATATCCGGGTTTGGTCTATTTTATATGCATTAACACAGGCTCTAATTTGGGACCAGAGAAAATCTCTCTTATATCCGGGTTTGGTCTATTTTATATACATTAACACAGGCTCTAATTTGGGACCAGAGAAAATTTCTCTTATATCCGGGTTTGGTCTATTTTATATGCATTAACACAGGCTCTAATTTGGGACCAGAGAAAATCTCTCTTATATCCGGGTTTCTCTTATATCCGGGTTTGGTCTATTTTATATACATTAACACAGGCTCTAATTTGGGACCAGAGAAAATCTCTCTTATATCCGGGTTTCTCTTATATCCGGGTTAAACTGTATATTTAATAGCGAACCTCAGTTCTCCACAAAATCAACCTATTGTGTTATGTACAACTACAGAGGCACATGGATCGCTACGGGCCCACATCTTACCTTTTATTTAACTGCAGTTTTAAAACGTACGATATCACACTACCATATTAGATTTATTTATTTATTCTCAAGTGTAAGGAAGAAAGTTCAAATACTTCCCGGCATCGTTCATTTCCGCTCTGTAAATTATATAAATTTGAATAATTTTGGATCAGATGAACATTCTTCGAAAATTATCGTTCGAAAACAATTATTCGAAAAAAAATTATTCGAAAAAACATTTATTCAAACTGTAAATTGTTCGAATGAAAATTAATCTTAAGGGCAATTATATTAAATGATAATTATCCGAAATGCGAAATTCTTTATTGCAGTAAAAATGTAAACGTTAAAAGAGGAAATGCACAAATGATAATTATTCGAAATACAAATATCATTAATAAAATAATTTAGTAAGGACAACTCCTTATAACCTTAAGTTATAAGATACTGCACGCAAATAGTCAACTACTAAAAAATACTCATTAAAGGAGGCCATTAATGTTTTAGTTTTACGTTTAAGTCGCGGTATTTCTTGGCGCTCTTGATATTTTGGCAACCTGCTCTTACTTTTACAATATGAATTTCTTGCAAGCTCCTTTAAGATTGTTGAGGGGTCCACACCTTTTTACACAAATGGACTCACCCAGTATATACATATACTACGGCTGCGAGAAGACCCGAGAGAGTCAAGACCGGAGTCGAGTCCAGAGTAAAAGGTTGTATGTAGGTGACCGGAAGGGTGAGGGTGAGGTAACAGCGTTGTAGGAGTCACAGTGAGCGAGCACGTAGACTCAGTAAGAAGTCATACAGCGATACTTCCATACCAAAGACTGTATATATATTTTGCTACTAACCCGTATTCCTGGAACTACTAACCTGCTTTACCAGTTTGTATTATTACGTTAATATATTATTTTCCTCTATTCATTCCTGGCGTTTGTTATTTATTGGTACCGGATCCACAACACTTCTCAGTAACGTTTTCTGAGTTTCTTTCATTATCAGTAACCCTTAAAAGTATTATTCCAAACTCTTCAGATGGTTGCATATAAATTGGATCATTCTGGGTATGACGATAAACTACCCCCGGCTGCAAGGCCTCTAATCGTGAGATTGGAGGTTTTGAGGAGCGTGGAATCACTTCTTAATTGCTGTTGTTCCCAGGTCCAGCTCGACCCTGGGTGGTAGCGCCTGTTATGGTCCCAAAGACTGTATATATATTTTGATACTAACACGTATTCCTGGAACTAGTAACCTGCTTTACCAGTTTGTATTATTACGTTAATACATTATTTTCATATATTCATTCCTGGCGTTTGTTATTTATTGGTACCGGATTTCAAACCGGAATCCACAACAAAGACCGTTTAAGAATTTCCATATTATAGGACGAGGGGACGACACTTGCTGCAAAAAAAAAAGCGCTACGTTATCCTTCAAGGGCGTTATTAGTTCAGCAATGTCTCTAAAAGTTAGACTACATATGAATTTGAAACATAGGTATTGCGAATAATTATCATTTAGTACAATTTTACTCTCGATTAATTTTCATTCAAACAATTTACAATTCGAATAAATATTTTTTGAATTACTGATATCGAACAATTATTTTCGAACAATTTTCTCGATACAAGATGGCTGACCGCTTGGGAATACCGGATATTTTAAGCGTGGATGTGTGTTTGGTGTAATTGAGAACGACTCGCGGCGAGGAATCGGAGAGACGAGGTCGAATACTGGTTGGGTCGTTACATTCGTTGGCATGCAAATACTCTTGGGACAGCGATGAATCCACGTCTTCTCCCACAGCTATGGATTAAACAGTAGGACGCATATCTGAAAATCATTATTGTCTTAAAAATATGCAATATACTCTCGCGAGAAAAAGAATTGTCTTTACAAAACAAAAATATATATTTGGCTTTAAATAACGTACAAAATGTTGATAATCCGTAAAAAAACAAAATGTTTGTGTATGTATATGTTGTGGATTCCGAGATGAAATCCGGTCTCCAATGAATGAAAACGCAGGAATGAAATATAACAAATAAATGTATTTACACAATAATACAATTGGTAATACGTTTAGTAGCGGTTAGTAACAATAATAATATATATACAGTCTGGTAAATCCAGTCTCGAATTAGGACTTCCTTAGAGTCTACGTGCTTGTAACTGTGACTTCTACAAGCGGTTACCTCACACTATTCCTCTACCTCCAACTCATTCACAATCTCTGTCTTCTCTCTACTCTGACTGACTAATAAAATGACTTAGTCTTGATTTTTATTTTTTAAATATATTTTTGACAAACGACGTATAATCGAGAACGACTTAACTCGAAACGACGTAACCCGAGGTATACCTGTATTAATATGGTATAAGAATATTTTCGGTAAAAAAAAAAAAAATTGAAAACCAGTGTAATTCTGTGTTGTAGAACAAGCTTTCAGGCGTTGAACCAGCATCATGGGCCAATCTCTCAGGATTAAACGTATAGCCTAAAAAACTCTGAATATTCGGAACTAGAGCTTCTTGTAAACAATTACTCTTTCTATTGAACTTAAACAAGTCTCGACTTTAGTCTCCGGGCATTTATATGAATCTCAATTCAGTACTAAAATTGACTACAACTAAGTCTTTTTTGTGACAGTCTCTAATGCACTGCTTCATACTAAGAGATGCCAATTACCAAGAACAAGTCGTACAGCAAGTACAAGACTCTACAATAAAGATAAATAAACACTTGGTTTTGTTTGTTTATTTTTAAGATCTTCTCGCGAGCAGGCGTGGAGAATAAAACCACATTTGTTATTTAATCCCAAACGTTCATAGATATCTTGCCAGTAGAATATCATTATATTAGAGCCGCGATAGTAAATGAGTTTGACAGGCCTGATTTAATGGGTTCTAGGAAACATCTATGTTCAGGAATGTAATTGATGTGTGTACGGGTCTTGTAAGCATTGACATCGCTTCGTAATGTTTGGCACGGTTTCGAAAGAATAAAAAATTACCACGAAAAATCGGGAATCAGAAATCTATTTATCTCAGTCTATCCATAATCTCACTCTCTCTCTCTATATATATATATATCTTCCTATCTATCTATCTATCTATCTATCTATCTATCTATCCTAGTATGTTCAATATCTATCTATCTATCTATCTTCAAAATTCAGTTTATTTTGAAATATCTATCTATCTATCTATCTATCTCAGGATATTCATATTTATTTATATATCTCAGTCTATTCACATCTATCTATCTATATATCTTTTTATTTACAGAGAAGTTCATCTTGTAAAAGGCCCGGGGGCCACTCGAGGTAGAGCGTTACAAAGTAAGGGATAGAGTTTATGTGGATATGTAGGGAAGATAACGGTTAACACTAGTCTTGAACAATTTAAGGTTGTGCTGATCGGGAAGCATTCTCTTGGGAGTTGGTTCCACAGAGTTCGCGGAAGAAGCTACTCGAGCAGAACTTACATCTCGCGAAGGGAATGACGGTGGTTTTGTACAATGGGCGTTGTCTGGTAGGTCATAGCCGTGAAGGCTAGAACTGGTGGAAATAAAGAATTTAGTTCGAATAAAAACTCTCCATGGAAATAGAGATATATCAGTGAGAGGATTGCGATATCTCGCCTGTGAGAAAGATGTTGCTGTGTAAAAAATAATTCATTACCCACAAGGACGCGGGTTATGGATTCTATCGAGATTTGAAAGTGAGTACTTAGCAGTTCCTAATCAAATAAGACTGTACTACGCCATTATAGGCCTGATCTGGCTCTTTTAAATGTAGAAGATAGTACGAGGTGCCAGGTACTTAGTCGGGTAGTACAGAGAACTGATCATTTTTCATTCGTTTTTAGCGATGGATCGTATGCACGATTTCCACTGCAGGTATGGGTTGATTTTGAGATCCAATATTCGCTTAAGGGACAGGTTCTAAATGAAGGAACAATCTTTCATACTTCAGACTCCGATCGGCGACATTTTAATGTAACTAGTTAGGTCTTTTGGTAAACAGCAATCTTTCCTGATCTATCTATCTATCTATCTATCTATCTATCTCAACCTGTTCATTATCTAGCTATCTATATACCTTTCCTTCTTTCCGCATATCGCTACTTATTTCTCTCTGCCCGTCTATCAGGCTCTCTCTCTGCATCTCTAGCCACCCCCATATATATATATATACATATATATATATATATGTTTCTATAGCATATGTATATTTACATACCGACGGCGGGTATCAGTAATATATATATATATATATATATATATATATATATATGCTATGAGTTTTGAAAATTTATCGGCCTACCCAACATGTAATTATATACTTATATTTGTTTTAATGGTCATTTTTTCTAGATTTTTTCAGCATTCTCTCTTTTTATCTTTCTCCCTCTGTTATATATATATATATATATATATATATATAACAGAGAGAGAAGGATAAAGATATATATATATATATATGATAAATAAATTTCTATACTTCAGAGAATTTTTAGGCAATTGAATAACTATGTGTGAAAATTCTGTCTGGAATGACTTCATCCGACTAAAGTAATGTTTTTATTGATCGAATTATGCGTAGGTGGAGAAATGGAAGATATAAACGCGAGAGTCGTTAGCAATCGATGTAGAAACCCTGAATTTTAAATTTTAAGATCTTAAATTGTTTTTGATGGGAGGGTGTATACTTGAAACAAAAATGATAAAACTAAAACAAAGGAATAGAGAAACTGAACGCGATCGACTAGATAGTGTGTCCAGACACGTCTTAAAATTTCCAGGTCTGATGTGATTTGTAAATTTTGAGCTTAGCCGCAGCAGTTAGGAGTGATAATAGTTGGTATCTTCTGTCTCTAAAGAATATAGCTAATTCTGGGGAGGCAGAAGGAACCAACTATTATGTCAGCATCCGGAGCGATGGCACAAATATATGAGTTCAATTTGGGGTCTGGAGTGAGCTCTCGGCCCAACAGACTATCAAATGGTCGAGCCTTGCCGACAGACAATCAAATGGTGGAGCCTTGCCAACAAACAATTAACTAGTGGAGCCTTGCCAACATACGATCCAGTGGTAGAGCCTTGCCTACAGACAATCAAATGGTGGAGCCTTGCCAACATACGATCAAATGGGGGATCCTTCCTAACCCACAATAAAATGGTGGAGCCTTGCCAACATGCAATTAAGTAGTGGAACCTTGCCAACATACGATCAAGTGGGGTGGGGGCTCGCCAACAGACAATCAAGTGGTGGAGCCTTGCCAACATACGATCAAGTGGGTGGGGGCCTTGCTAACAGACAATCAAATGGTGGAGCCTTGCCAACATACGATCCAGTGGTGGAGCCTTGCCAACATACGATCAAGTGGGGGAGCCTTGCCAACATAGCATTAAGTGGTTGAGTCTTGCCAAAAGACGATCAAATGGTGGAGAATTGTTGAGGGTACGGCGACTCATCAAGATTGGAGCAAATTCAGATTCTGCTCAGTGGTGATGAAACGTTGCTAGCAATGTTTTGAATTTATCGATTGATATGTCTTTCTTTCACTGAGCTGTGCGTATTCAGTCAGAAGAGACTACCTGCCAGGCACTCATCATCCAGCTATTTGGAGGTGCACCTATAAACCGTGATAACATCTGTATATATATATATTGACAATAGACCTGAAGATTCTCATATGCAAACCGTTAATATAAAAAAGTGATTTGAAGCGAGGAGAGGCCCCTGGGGACGCCAGCACTGATCTTAACTGCCTCAGAGAAATTAGTTATTAGCAACAACCTTACCTGATAGTAAAGAGTTGATAAATGAAAAGACAGTTCCAGAGATCTAGCTGTGGAACTTGTGTAGCCATCGCCTATGTCACAACTTGTCAAAGGCTTCCGAGATATCTAAGGCGAACGTGTTATTGTGTTTATTATTAATAGCAGCACTGATTCTATACGTGATGATCATTAAAACATCAGCATTGGCCCTAAAGAAGCGAAAAACATACTGTTTGTCGCTCAGAGAGTTGTTGCTATTGAGGTGGTCAATAACATTCTTGTTAATGATAACTTCAGAAAGTTGGTTGATGACACTAATGAGGCTGATGGGTCGTGTTTTGATTGAGTCAAGGATTCAACTAAATTCTTTTTGTAGCAGTATCAATGTTAGCTGATCTCTTGTTAACTAAAAAAAAAAAAAACTCTGAAAGATGTTACAGAAATTTGTTGATGGTTATTGTCTGGATGATTCTCAATTAAATGAAGTGGACCTCACAAGGACCATGTCAAACAGTCCTGAAAAAGAAGATCACTGAGTGAAGCCAGACCCTGAGGAATTTTTTTTAGATGAAAGATGGTGGTATAATAGCGTTTGCCCTGTAAAAGAAGTGATCACTAACAAACGAAAACAGTGGACTGTTTGCCGTCATGCGAAAACGAAGGCGTTCTCCCGCACACCGATTAGACAACTCGCCACATTTATCTCACCTATGCCTTGCTCATCTAGGAGGCACGGTGGAGTAATGGATAGCGGCTTGGATTGAGGAATCGGAGAGCCGAGTTCGAATTCCAGTCGAATCCATTACATTCACTGACGTGTTAACACCCTTGGGAAAGGTGTGAATCCTCCAGCTATGGGTAAATAGCAGGACAGACTGGGTTCTATAGCCTTGGATGGCAACTGGTCTAGGAGAAGGAAAACTCTGAATTCAAACCTGCTCTTAGAGGAGAGTGAATGGACTGTCTCTGAGTTTTGGTTGGCAATCCATTTAGTGTTGGTGTCACGATAAAAAGACCCTTGATAGACCTAGCGAAGCATCAAGAATTCAGCTATTTGACAAGATTATGGACTACACCAATCAAAGTATTGGTGAGTTCAATCTCGGCTGAGGCCGCAATCACACACGCTTTACACTTAGCAGCCCCTCTTTCTTTCGTATTTCTCTCTAATAATATAACATGTGATCTTCCCCTCTCTCTATAAATATTTAATAGTAAACACTGACTACAAAAACAATTAGATCAGACAGGCTGACGACCGCAGCAACAGGTCTAAACAGAAGCTAAAAATAGATTCTCATAAACGTGACCAAGTACGAACGCTGAACTGGAAAAGATCGACAGAAGCCAGTTAAGTGACAAAAACTGAAGAACCGGCTATGAAATCGTCGTGTAAACGAAATTACCGAACTGAAGAGAATGAATGATGTTCCGAAATCACAAAAATTCAAAGCACAGAATCAAGTGGAAACGAGACTATTGCGAATAATACTTATTTTTACATGCAAGAGAGATCACGCGATAAAAAAAACGAATTCCAATTCGACTCAACACACAATGCTGCTTACATCAAATGCATAGGTGGATTGCGAAACGTGTCAATCACCTAATAAAGGCATATGTGACACATTCAATTGGATGAAGGATCCGAATAATGCTGTATATACAACGTATACAGCGCCAAATAAACGTAAATGAATAACGAATGCAGCATTGAAGAAGGAATAGATCAAAATATACTGCTGTTTCAAATTTTAACCTCAGAATATAACGCATACATCTTTCCACACAGAAATATATAGCACGCATCTTTCCAAGAATTCTCCTGCCTAAATATTTTCATATATTGTCTAGTTATAATCAAATGTTGTTAATTTGAATATTGGCGTTTGTCTTTCGTTACCGTTGGTTGCCGTTCCGAATTCGTATTTGACCCTGTGAAGAATCCGACCATTATGGAATGGTACACTTGGCGTCTTCTAGACAGCTAGTTTTTTTTTAATCTTTTCTTTTTAAAACATTATGTTGCGGTAATTGTCCGGCAGTCAGTCAGTCAGTAATGTGTCATGCGTGATACACGCCTAGACGATCATGTATATTTCGATACATGACAAAAGAGGCAGATTTTTTCCTGCAGTAGGTTGCCATTTCTGTCTGCGGTAGACCAGTTACTGTCCAAAGCTATAGAACCCAGTCTGTTCTGCTATTTACCCATAGCTGGAGGTGGGGAGAAGAAGATTCCTACCTTTTCCAGGGGTATTAGCATGTGCCGTAACAGTTACAAACAGAATAAAATGGCCAAACAGTTATTTTTTAAGCCACAAGAGTTTGAGTGAAAAAAACTGCACACTGAAAACAAACCTGATGTCTGGTCTGAACTGCAACGTTATTTTCTCCACAGAAACGAGCTTAGGAAACGTTTCTTCTTACAGGAATTGGCTGGTTAACTTTAATGACAAAAACAAAACTGCTCTCTATTACTCACCACAGAGAACGATCTCTGCTCCCCATTAGAATGGCTGACGCTCAACTCCACGAAGCACCTCTTTCCGACTGCTCGGTCTCACATTGACTGCTGATCTGAAATGGAACAAATACAATGAGTCAATAGCTTCGTCCGCAAAGAAAGTTGGCTCCCTGTGCCGCACCAGGAAATTTTTCTCGCCGGAGTCTATCCTTCAAATCTACAAATCAACCATTCGCCCTTGCATGGAGTATTGCTGCCATATATGGTCTGGAGCCCCTTCTATTTGTCTCAAGGTCCTTGATAAAATCCAGAAACGGATATGCAATGTAACTGGCCTTGATCTGGCATCTCGTCTGCAGTCGCTCTCTCACAGACGTATCGTTGCCTCCCTCTGTCTTTTTTTTACAAATACTTTCACGGTAACTGCTCCGATGAGCTGCTTTCGCTGGTTCCCAGACTTCATGAATTTAAGCGTTCAACTAGGCTGGCATCTCGCTCTCAGCCTTTCACTGTCGAAACTGTTAAATGTAGCCGTCTCTTCTACTCCAATACCTTCATGTCTCGCACTTCTCGCCTGTGGAACTCCCTCCCCCTTTCCTGTTTCCCTGATAGCTATAATCTTCAACTATTCAAATGTAATGTCAATCGACATTTCCAGATGCCTTAATCTATCCCTTATCCTTCTCTTCATTTCCTCTATCAATCCTATTTGCTCTCGCCCCAACTCTCTGTAATCCCTTGTGTGCTAGTGGCTTCCCGCCTTGCCTGGGGCGAAACGCTTTTAAAAAACCAAGTTAAACAACTTTGTTAAGATGGGATATGGGCTAATGTTCTTGAGAACAACTGCAGCGATTTTACTCGGAACAGAAGTCTTCATTTTTTGATAATCC